TTCTCGGTTTTAAGGAGCATTCTGGGTGCATTTCTTCCAAAGCAGATTTGTTTGTTCTTCTGATAATCCATGGTATTCTCAATATTCTTTAGCTAACACCACCATTCAAATGCATCAATTCTTCCGTCTTCCTTACTCATCGAGCAGCTGTTATGTGCATATGAAGCTACTGAAAATACCATGGCTTGGGTCAGGCACACCTTAATCTTGAAAGTGACATCTTTGCTCTTTAACACTTTAAAGAGGTCTTTTGCAGCAAATTTGCCCAGTGCAATACCCTGTTTGATTTCTTGACTACTGTTTCCATGAGCATTGATTGTGGATCCAAGTAAAATGAAATCTTTGATAACTTCAGTCTTTTCTCCATTTATCGTTGTGAGTCCAGCTGTGATGGTTTTAGTTTTCTTCATGTTGAGGTGTAATCCATACTGAAGGCTGGAGTCTTTGATCTTCATTAGTAAGTGCTTCAGGTCCTCTTTGTTCTCAGCAAGGAAGGTGTGTCATCTGCGTATCACAGGTTGTTGATGAGTCTTCCTCCTAATACCTGGTTTTTCATATAGTCCAGCTTCTTGGATCATTACTCAGCATACAGATTAAGTATGGTGAAAGCGTACAACCCTGATGTAAATCTTTACTGATTTTAAACCATGCAACATTCCCTTTTTCCGTTCAAATAAATGCCTCTTCATCTGTGTACGGGTTCTTCGTGAGATAATTAAGTGTTGCGGAATTCCCATTTTTTTTGCAGTCAGTAAAGCACAGATAACCATCTTTCTGGTATTCTTGCTTTCAGCCAAGAGCCATTTGACATTATCAGTGATATCCCTTGTTCAATGTCCTCTTCTGAATCTAACTTGAATTTCTGGCAGTTCTCTGTGCTGCAACCATTTTTCAATTATTTTCAGCAAAATTTTACTTGCATGTGATACTAATGATACTATTTGATAATTTCTACATTCTGTTGGATCACATTTCTGTGGAATGGACACAAATATCAATCTCTTCTAGTCAACTGGCCAAGTAGCTATCTTCCAGATTTCTTGGCATAAACAAGTGAGGGCTTCCAGGCTGCATCTGTTTGTTGAAATATCTCAATGGGTAGTCTTGTCAATTCCTGGAGCCTTGCTGTAGAGTCGATTCTGACTTATAGTGGCCCTTCCTTGGTTTTCTGAGGTGGTATCTCTATGGAAGTAGATTGCACAGTCTTTCTTCTGAGGAGTGGCTGGTGGCTTTGAACCACCAGCCTTCTGGTTAGCAGTCAAATGGCTTAGACACTACACCACCAGAGATCCCATAGAACCCTTCAATATAGCAACTCTAGCTTAAATTTTTTCTTCAGTTCTTTCAGCTTGAGAAATGTCAAGCGTGTTTTTCTCTTTTGGTTTTCTAACTCCAAGTCTTTGCACATTTCATTTTAACACTTTATTTTCTTGAGCGACCTTTTGAAATCTTCTGTTCAGCTCTTTTACTTCATCATTTCTTTCATTTGCTTTAGCAACTCTCCATTTAAAAGCCAGTTTCAGAGTTTCTTCTGAACTCCTATTTTAGTCTTTTCTTCCATTCTTATATTTTTAATGACCTTTTGTTTTCTTCATGTATGATGTCCTTATGTCATCTCACAACTTGTCTGGTCTTCAGTTATGGTGTTCAGTGTGTCAAATCTATTCTTCAGATAGTCTCTAAATTCAGGTGGAATATACTCAAGGTCATATTTTGGCTCTCATGGACTTGTTTTAGTTTTCTTCAGCTGCAATTTAAACTTGCATATAAGCAATTGATGGTCTCTTCTACAGTTTGCCCCTGGCTTGTTCTGATTGATGATATTGAGCTTCTCTATCATCTGTTTCCACAGATGTAGTAGATTTGATTCTTGTGTAGTCCATGTGGTGAGGTCCAGATGTACAGCTGCTGTTTATGTTGTTGAAAAAAGGTATTTGCAATGAGTAAGTCAGTTGTGCAGAATTCTGTCATGCAATCTCCTTTGTCATTTCTGTCACCAAGGCCATATTTTCCAAGTACTGATGCTTCTTTGTCTCCTTTCACATTCCAATCACCCATTATTATCACTGCATCTTGATTGCATGTTTGGTCAATTTCAGACTGCAGAAGTTAGTAAAAATCTTCAATTTCTTCATCCTTGATTTTAGTGGTTGGTATGTAAATTTGAATAATAGTAGTATTAAGTTTTGTTCCTTGTAGGCAAATGGATATTATCCTGTCACTGACAACACTGTCCATCAGGATAGATCTTGAAATGTTCTATTTGATGATGAATGTGATGCCATTCTTCTTCAAATTTGTCATTCCCAGCATAGTAGACCATATGATTATCCAATTCAAAATGGCCAAAGAGGTCCATTTCATCTATTGTTCTTTATGTATTCCATTTCATTTTTGATGACTTCCAATTTTTCTACATTCATATTTCATAATTACATGTTCTGATTATTAAGGGATGTATACTTCTGTTTCTTCTGAGTCATGTCACGTCAGGAAATGAAGGTCCTGAAAGCTTTGTTCCATCTGTCATTAAGGCTGACTCTACTTTGAGGAGGAGGCTCTTCCCTGGTCTTATTTTCAGTGTCTTCCAATTTGAGGGGCTTATCTTTCAGCATTGTTATCAGACAGTGTTTCATTGGTATTCATAAGGTTTTCAGTGTTCAATTTTTTCAGAAGTGGACCTGGCTACCTCTTTTTTCCTAGTTTGTAATCTCTGAAAAATGTCCACCATGAGTGACCCTGCTGGTATTTGAAATACCAGTGGCATAGCTTCTAGCATCACAGCAACACATGAGCCACCACAGTATGACAGAGACAAGTGGTAGAGATTCTTGGATGGGTTTTATCTCTTCCCTGCCATTGAGTCGATTCTGACTCATGGCGACTCCCTTTGTGTTTCCGAGGTAGTAAATCTTTATGGAAGTAGATTGCCCAGTCTTCCTTCTGCAGAGTGACTGGTGGGTTTGAACCGCCAATCTTCTGGTTAGAAGTCAAATGCCTTAAGCACTATGCCACCAGAGCTCATAATTTTACTCATAAAAAGTTCAGTCCAGTAGAACATGAAAATTCAAGCTCCCCTAATTTGGCCAGACTTAAGAGTCTGAGACCTTATTTTTCCTCATGTTTCCACATGGATAGACTTTCCTAGAGAGTAACTTTTCCTACTCTCAATGAAGTGGAGTGACTCATCTTATTGATGAACATTTGGAAGAAAGGACAAGTTAAGTGTGCTAGAGCCTTTCTGGGTAACCTTCAAGGGTCTATAAGCCGACAGGTGTTGTCTTCTCCTTGGCCCTTGGCCACAGGGTACCTTTTAGGACAGTTCTGTGGCCACCTCTGTGACCAGAGGCAGCAGTTGTCCCACTGCGCCAAGGGCTGAGAGATGTGTTTGTCTGATTTGGAGGTGGAGCAGTAGCTAGTTCTCTTGCTTGCAGATATAAGCCACATCCTCTAATGTCTGTGTCTTCACTGGTTTCTGAATTGGGATAGAAAGAGCCACAGGGGTAGGATGTGAGGGTGAAGAAATGTTCACTTTGAGAAGACAGTTGTAACCAGACGTTAGGACTTGTGTGGGGTAGATGTAGAAATGGTGCAGCCATCTATGGGTTTTTGGAAAACTGCCTTCTGGATGTTGGTAATGTTTCCTCCAGTCAGATGCTCTCAGCTCTCTCCTCAGCCCCAGGTTTCTGTGGGCCACTGTGTACCCCCACCTGTCCCATCTCTTCAAGCTTGGTCACTCACTGTGTCTCCATCCTTTTTCCTTCCTTCTGCTGTCAAAGCCTTTCACCTTTATCTTCTCCTGTTGTTAAGTTGACCCCAAATGACAGAGTAGAACTGCTCTAAAAAGGAAGGTTAGCTTACATTCAACATGCTGTCAGGAAGGACCAATCCCTGAAGACATCGTGCTTGGTATAGTAGAGAGTGAAAAAGAGGAAGATCCTTAACACAATGTATTGACAAAGTGGCTGCAACAATGGGCTCAAAAATAGTATTATGAAGAAGGCCCAGGACTGGAGCGTATTTCGTTCTGTTGTACATAGGGGTCACTGAATGGGAACCCACTAGACGGCACCTAACAACAATAATCTTTACAGAAGTAGGTTGCCAGGTCTTTCTCCCATAGAGCCACTGGGTGTATTGAGACCACTAACCTTTCTGCAAGCAGCAAGCCCTTCAACTACTCGACACCAGGGTTCTTTTCATCTTCTAATTACAGGGGTTGTGAGGATGGTGTAGGACTGAGTAATGTTTCACTCTGTTGTACACGGGGTCGCTAGGATTTGGAACCGAGTCTAACAAACTGTGAGTGCTTGTTGACTAGGGAAGCAGCTCTCTTCTGTTCCTGGGCTTGCAGGGATGGGGGTGGGAGAGCTTCTGAGCCATCTCAGCCACCGCTTTCACTAGTCACCTCACAGCTGGACTGCTGCCTTCCGCTCACTCACTCAGCCACTTCCAACACCCACGCCGCCGGCACCTCGCTGATCCTGAAGTGCACCGAACCCTTCCCTCTCCCCGCGCCTCTACCTAGAATCCCTCACCCATCAGTGTTTCAAGTGGCGCTTCCCACAGAGCCCTCCGCAGGGGCCCCACCCGATAGAGTCCTGGGGTCAGGGCGGGGTTCCTAATGGGATTTGAGGAACGCTTGGTACAGGTAGTACCGAGCGCAAGGGAGCTGATCCGCCGGGCAGTCTATCCCGGAGGACAGCGGCTCGGGCCCCGCCAGCAGCTCACGCCCTCATCAGGCCCCGCCCCTCCGCTCTGGGGCGTCCGGCGCTCGACCAATGAAGTGACTAGGTGCGCCCCGGGCTGACCCTCACGGCATTCTGATTGGCTGTCTAGGCCTCGGCCCATCTCACTCTATGGTTCGGCTGAGACGAGCGCCTGCTCAGTGCGCGCTATAGGTGGGACTGATTTCATGTCCCGCCCTCGACAGAGTGGGGTGCTCGGCGGTTTTGGTGTAGTGCTTGCAAGCGCGGCGGCTGTAATCACTCTGTGGCATCATGACTGAGGGCACGTGAGTTCCCGCGCCGCACCCGGGACCTATGGACTGTTTGGACCCCCGGCCTTCGGACCCCGGGACCAATGATTCTGGGACCCAGACCCCGCGGCGCGGCCGTCGAGAGGGCACCGCGCAGATCTGGGCGTCTCTCCCGTAGGCGGGGCTGCTCTGGCCAAGTCTGCATGCCCGAAGGCAGAGGACCCCAGAGTCACTGAGAAGCCTGCCCGCGTCTCACTGCTGGGCGGGGGCAGACGCGTGCGCACATGGGTGTCCGCGGCTTTCATCTGTACTTGGGTGTCTGGACCCAGGAGAGGCCGGGGGCGGGGCTGGGAGGCAAGGGGTTGTCGGTTAGGGTAGGGTCTGAGAGGACGTACCGTGCCCCTCGTGAGCCGACCGAGACTTGATCCCGCTTAGGTTACACCGAGGTCCTTGCTGTTGCGAAAAGAGTTAGAGTGGGGGTCGTTTCAGAGGCTGTAGTGACCAGAGCCCTGGTGCCCGGTGGGGGAGGGGCGAGTGGCGGTGGCGAGGGGAGAGTGTGTACTTTCAAGGTAGGCTCGGGGGTGTTCTGAGGGTTGGATGTGGGGATGGTGACGAGAGCCCTGTGGGAGTGGGTAGGGAGGAGGTGGAGATGGAGTTGCCCAAGTCCCAAAAGATTTTCTGGGGAGTGAGCCGACAAACAGGCTGTGTCGTACCAGGGTTCGAGGTCCCCACAAAAGACACACATGCTCCACTCTAGTTATTGCTTTACTCACCTAGAGTAGAGACAGAGCAAGGTCAGCTTCACTAATAGGCACTGGTTTCCCATGGTCAGCAGGATGCACCTGCATATCACCAGTGTCAGATAGATGTCCTGTGTCCACCCTTCTCCTATAACCCTCTCATGCTGGAGAGACCTCATTCCTTCCCCATTGGCAACAGATATAGAAGTGGTGCCTGTGCCTGAGCAAGAGGCAGAAAAGTTACTGTGTGCTCAGAACAGGGAGAAGGTTTTTCTGATATGGAGAAGAAACTGGGAAAGAGTGAGATACCCTATTTTCAGCCCCCTTGTAATAGAATGTTCTTGGCCCAAGGCCTTAGGTGGTCCATATGGAAGGTGTACCAGTGAACCATTCCCCAGCAGACAGTAGCAAGAGGCAGAAGTGGAGTGAAAAGGGTTTTTATTCATAAGATGGAAGAAATAACCCTGTGCTTACAAGCTTTTGGGTGTAAAATAGTAAGTAAACAAAGATGGTGATGAGGTTGACCCAGGGGAGCATTCCTGGGGCATGTCCCTGAACAGCCAGAGGCTTGCCACTTGTGGCACTGGTAAGGACTGTTGTGTCACTCTGTGGTAACAGCAGGGGAGGCTGGCAGCAGGTGCATGGGGCTGTGATCCTAGTGAAGTAGAGGCCAGGTGAAGATAGAGAGGCATGGGGTGGGCTTCCTGGTAGTGTGGAGGACTCACTGAGGTAATGGCCATGAGCTCACAGTGAGACCAGTTGGTATGATGGTGGGCTTTCTCTGGGCACCATCTACTGCACTGGCATAGTGGGAAGGATGGGCTCTCACACCTAAGTAGCCTCTGACAGTCACCTGCTGCTTTGACCTCTCCTGTACCTCCTCTATTCAGGGCATATGGTGACCTCTCTCCTGGACTCCTCTCAGGCCCTCTTCAGGGTCAGATGAGTCACTAGACATGAAGGTGCTCTTAGGGGCCTGGCTAGAACCCACTATTGGCCAGGTGAGGGGGGCTGGAGTGATGGTGACAGATTTCCCGTATTCCAGTGGCTCCCAGAACCTGCAGAGAGGGAAAGTGCACTCCTTATGCCTCTGCCCAGGCTGCCTACCAGGAAACCACCTTGCCCCATGGTGGGCTTGTGTATAGGAGGGTGGACGGCTGGGCTCTGTAGTTCTGTTCATTTTTGTATCTGGGCTCTGATTTAGTGAAAAACAGGTGGGGTGGTTACCTGAGGACAATTGTTTCCAGGTGTCTGCGCCGGAGAGGGGGACCTTATAAAACCGAACCAGCCACTGACCTCACTCGCTGGCGCCTCAGCAATGAGGAGGGAAGGCAGAGATGGACGTATTTCCAAGAAGGTGAAAACCCTGGCCGAGCACAAACTGGCTTGGAAGCCCACTCATTGGGATTGGACACTGTAAGTGGCTGCATTTGCTTATTGCTGCTTCACATGTAGGAAGTAGCCAGGAGACTGCCTGAAGCTCCTTTCCCCAGCTAGGAGCTCCTGGAACCAGCAGGGAGCTTTGGGAAGTTAGTTGCGATGGACTTTTTTTTCTTTTGTTAAAAATAATTTGTGGAACCACAAGAAGTGTGGCATGTGGTCTTCATCTCAGGTAACTAAGGCTGCTTCCCATGGGACCAGGTTGAGAAAGATAAAGCATGAGTTGAATGGCCTCTTTGCTTCAATGCTTTCATCACAAAGGCACAAGTAAGAAAATGCTCTAATTTTGTTTTTAACTATTTTGAAGTGGTTATAGATTTATAAGAAAGTTGCAAAATAATCCTAATTTTGTTTTTACTCACAAGAAGCAGCCTATGATCCTTTTTTTTTTTTTAAAAAAAAAGAAGGTTCTATGTACATATGTAAGAGACCCAGCTGGTCAAATGGTGTTCAGTGTAAATGCATCTGCCTGCCAAGGTCTAGCCCTAATCACATTCCTTTTCTGGAGAATCCCCTGCCATCCCTTGAGCCCTTCAGAGAGGCCCGAGTTCCAGGCTGGATGGGTGTCAGTGTCACACCCCACACTCTTTGTATACTTGATTCATTTATGTAACACATCTTGGACAGGCTGTGAAAAAATTAGCAAATTCGTGAGTGGAAAGCAAAACCTCAAGAGGGTGGAGCTGTCCTTTTACTTTACTGAGGTAATCACAGCTTTATCAAAGTGGTTCAAACTTTTGATTGAAGCAGCTGACACTTTTGAAGTCATTCTGCTTACTATTTTAACTTGGCTTCTCAGTCATCTTCTCTCTTTGCAGAGGAATTTCTTCAAGGACTTGCCTAAAGCCCATACAGCACAGGAGGGGGCTCTGAATGGGATGACATTCTATGCGGGGCTGCAGGCTGAAGATGGGCACTGGGCGGGTGATTACGGTGGCCCACTCTTCCTCCTGCCAGGTAGGATGGGCCTCTTTCCAATCTGTTGTTAGGGCCTGGCCTGGCCCAAGCTCTTGGGTGAAAACCAGCAGCTCCTGTAGATAGAGCCTGGGTTGGGCTGCCCTGTGCTACTTATCCTTGGGGTGGTACTGAGAACGTGGCCCTGTCCCAGAAGCCCCACCCAGTATCGAGGTGATGGGTACTAGGGAGCTTGGTTAATAGCGAGGAGACTCTTGAGCTCCAGTACAGACTGGGAAGGGCTGGAGGTGGCACGGGTGGGAGGAAAGCAAGATATCACCTTGGAGGGAGTGGCTGGAGGACCCAGACAGGGCAGGCTCAGGTGGCAGTTGTACCAGGGTTGCAGCTTGGTTCCTAGGGTACTGAACTGTTTTGGCAGGACAGGACCGTTTTTCTTCCTGGGAATACATTTGTATGGAAACAGCCTGGTAATATGGAGGTTTCCTCCAAGTATTTGTGCAGACGGACCCTTCCCCAAAGACTTGTACTGGTTCTGGGTCTTAAATTCTTGGGAAAACAAAGGCCTATGTCTATGGTAATAAATAAAACTTTGTAGTAGATTTGAAGTCTTAATATCCCTTTCTATTTCACACTTTCTTGGCTGGATGTCTCTGTTTATTTATCCCAATCACCTTTGTTGAGACCTAGTTGAGTCCTAGATTAGAGCTTTCTGGGACTTTTTGTGGGGCTGTGTTAGGCCTCAAAGTTAACCTGGGAGCGTGACCTCTCATTTCAGAAATGCTCCCATAGTATTGCTGTGTTCCCAGTCCTGCTCCAGGCCTGGAACAGCACCTACCATACAGATGAGAAAACTGAGGCACGTGCCCTCTGGTCACATGACTAGCAGGAGGCAGCACTGGGGTTCAGTTTGGACTTAGGCCTACTTTCTTCCAGTTTCAATGGCACCATGTCTTTCTGGGGGCTGTTTAGCTCTATTTGGGGCTTATTGCAGTGGTTCCTGGGGGTCTTCACGGCCTCATCAGGAACCAGGGCTGGCCCGCCTGTGGACCGAGGGGGAGGACAGGATGTCAGACAGGGTCACCTGGCACAGTGGAAGGCATGAAGTGAATGCGTTGTCATCGGGAATGGTGTCATTGTTCTGTGCTGTGGCAGTAGCACTTGACTGCCATTGAGGCCTACTCTTTATGGACTCTGGAAAGTCTGTCCCTCATGTGTTGGACAGACTCTGGGTGTGGCTGGCATTGAGAAGGCCAAATGCTCCTCCAAAGCCTAGTGAGGCCTAACAACCCTTGCTGGAAAAGCCCCTAATTTAATTTGGGAGCAGTCATGACTCCATGTAAGAGTCTTTCCACCCCCATGGTTCATACTGATAGCAGTATGCCATTGTGTGGCATTGTGTACACTGACTGCACCATGCGAGGGCCCAGCTACCCAGCCCAGCTCCCGTGTACCAGCGGTGCCTCAGTTTCCTCACTTACAAAGTTGGAGTGCTGACATTACCCATCTCCTAGGAGTTGCTGGAGTAGGAAGAGCTGACACACATGTTAGTGGTTATTTTCATGAATATATTGTTGGGACCAGTGGGGCTCTTAGTGCCCTTGGCTCCAAGGCCTGCAGGGCCACAGGTGGTATTGCTTCCTCCCCACCGGCACAAGTGCCTTTTATAAAAAGAGCAGGATCTGCTTGAGTGGCATTTTCTTTCTTTTTTTTTTTTTAATTAGGATTTGGGTGAAGATATACAGAGTAAATTCACTTTTCATACAACAGTTCACATATACTTTTGTCTCATGTCATTGACCAAAATTTACAATGCAGCAGCTCACCTCCCACTTCCTCCCCATAGTTACCTCCTCCCAGTGTCCATCCCTTCATACTCTTCTGCACCCTGAGCTATCTCCCTGTG